GCAACTTCCACCCCCTCCCCTAAATCAGGCTCTGACACTATATGCATATAGAAGAATATAGGTTCAGTCAGTATATCAACCTATGCATTACAATGTAGGAACTGTTGTTGTTGAGGGGCATACACAAGCAAGGACACAAACCAGTGAAGTATGTGGTAGTCCGCGGACCAAACAAGGAGTTGAAGAGTAAATAGTCTGACACAAGATGTGGACATCTAAGACAATTACACACGTACTGTACTTATTCTCTTGCTAAGCCATGGAGCGGGAGCCCCCCCCCCTGGATTTGCGCCCCTGACTGCAGGCCAACATTCAGACTCACTGCAAACGCTCCCACTACAGACGGCATGCAGCGGCGTTCATACCACACAGACATGAAGGGCGACACTTGTGGAACTCTGTCTCCGTACAGGCGTACCCCGACACGGCCACAAAAGCAGACTGCTGTCTATATACACGTGCCTATACACGACCGTTCCTTAGAGATAAGTACACTATGTACTTATGACAGACCACATAGAAATGAGCTGCCACGCAATCTGGCTGGTATATATAGTACAGATTGTGCTTGCACTGCCGACGTTTGTGGAAGGATCGCATAGCCTTATCAGTTGGTTGATATGAACTCTTATGTACTCTTGAGTTTTTTATACGTCATACTAAAACTCCAGTCATCTAAGATCCAACATGGAGCGACTTGGTAACATGATACATGAGTCAGAGCTCTGACCCATCTACAGCTGCTTCTCTCCTACTGCAGCTACGGGTAGCAGTAGCAGCAGCAGCTTCTCTGACAGAATACAGCAAAGCCTGCCATATTTATAGCTGTACGCGTTCGAGTGGTGCACACATAGCAACACATGGGCGAACCCACAAGTAACCTATTCTTGCAGCTACACCCAGCTGCCAGAACCTATCAAAGCAGTCTGCAGCCACCATCACCCACATGGGCTATGCCAGAACTTATACGCATCACATCACGTACAAGCGTAACCAGTTTCGTTAGCACTACCCGTGAACTCGTGCGAGATGGATCGAACACCATTAGTCCGATACCGAAGACTAATCTCGTTGAATTTCCTGTACTGGGGGGGGGGCAACAAGGCAGCCCAGAAAAGAGTAGATGCATTGCAAACAAAATTCGCATGGTTTCAAGTACACTGGTGTATGAGTAGATGAATAAAAAACAGAGTCAATGAACGTGGAACAGAATGACAACAACGTGCACTACCTCGAATCTAAGCTTGAAGGCTTGCAGTGTCTTGAGTTCATCGAGACACGTTGGTTCCAATTCAACGTGAACGTCAAGAAGCTCGTATATGATGAAATCCACAAAATTTAGCTGGAAATATACAGAGGAAATTCAGAAATTATTTCAAATTTTAATATGTATCTACACCACCATGCCCATCAAACTGCACTAAGATCCATAAATTGAAAGATTATTAAATCTATAATTAAAGATAATTTGGGCAATGTTTACAAACAGAGAGATGCAGAAGTTTGCATGTAAGTGTTAAAATTGCCCCCAAAAAGCTTTTTGAATGAGCTTAATTTTCTACTCACATTTTTGCCTGTAAACCATTTTTTATCCCCAAGGAATTCTGCAAAGGCACCTAGCTTGCTAGGTAATTCCTTGAGATAACCCTCCTTCATTCGTTCCTATGTGAAAAAGTCGTTATAGTACCAATATAACAAAAAGGAAAAAGAAACAATTGAGATTTAGAGACAAGCAGACAAGTAAAAGTGAACAGTAATACTTCTCAGCCATGTTCATTGGCGTATAGTTTTTCACAGAGATACGTAATGTATAAAAACGATTTTACAGCAGGTGTAAGTTAACAACTTACAAATTCTTCATATGTTTTTCCAAAAGCGTAGCAGGTCATGGCGAATCCCATACGTATATCAAAAGACTGATCTACAAGAATGTCCTCCCTGATCTGCTCCGCTTCTGTTTTAGCCGCTACAATCATGCAATCGTGCAGACTATGGTTAGTCACTCTGTGTGATGTTAGACATTATGATATAAACATGACAATGTTTATTAATCTACTCTAATCATAATTACGTAAAGACGACATAGCGCATTATAGATGTATAGTATGGGTCAACTACATTTCAAACATTGCATCTTTCAATCCAAATACAATATTATAAGTTATTCCTTCCAAGGAATCCTAGAATCCTTATTACAAGAAAATCCTTCTTTTTTTTCTCTATCTCACCTCCCTGAAATGTTTTATTAAGTAAAGTTACAGGTTAGGAGATAACCGCTGGTGTCTAAGAATCCTCAGCCACTACTTAAATTACTACACAGAACGTACACAAGTCAGGCATACAACCAAATACGTTCAATGTACTAAGTGTGAAAAAAATTGACGCAAAGCTATGCCAACACAGTGTTGAGGACTGTACATCAACCACGACAATAACAAGAATATAATTAAGTGTTATTGGTGTTGTAAAAAAAACACGGCTCTCCCAAATGGCACATACATTCGTGCAACTAACATGCATTTAATACATAAACAATTTTCATACATAATTCTTGGCAACACAGTTTGTTAGTTTGACGACAGATAACTAGAAAGAAGTTTAGCAATCAGTCATGATTACTGTTCTCTCGCAGTTAGTAAACAGTATTATTTCATGTATCGATTAGTTGTAAAACACGTATTGCACAGTGCAATCCAGCCTCGATGATCTCATCGTGCATCCAAGTGCCAAGCACACTTACAAACAGTGGGCTGATAACACGAGACGCCCATTATCCTGTCCGGAAGTCACCAGCCGCATCCAAAGCAAGGTCCTCTCGAATAACAATCATCTTTACTAACAGCTGAGAGACAGAAATTAAGTAGGAGCGCTCCACGATATGCAACTAGTTCTCATTCATGGAAATTCGTATTCATTCTGTCATAATAGTCAATACATATGCACATATACATATCCATTGTTGCTCTCTAATGTACATACCGAGGCCGTGTTTCCTTCCAAGGTAGCGAATAATTGTATTGCTCTGGGTTAGCTTCAAATCTCCATCAACGTAGTAAGGTAGCTGAAACCATAATTATCATATGAAAACTATTTTAAAGATCTCTTGACTATTACATCCAGAGTTAATCGAAACTGTAAGTAAAGAACTAGCTTATATGTATATATGTACGTTCGTTGTTGTTATCTCAATCTGTAGTAAAGTAGAGAGGTAGCGCGCGTAAGTGAATAAGAACTGCATATATATAAAACCATGCATGTTTTTCACAGTCCACGAGAAGGGGCATTTTTCATAGAGATAAATGTAATGAACAATTCAAGATTATACACAGGACACTATGCAGGGCCGGATTTAGGCACCTGGGCAGCCTTCAGTAGTACCCTAGCTTAGAATACTAAAAACTAAATGTGACAAGACATATAGTTACAGTCATCCATAAAGTAAAATTCTTTTAAGTAGAAAGAACCTGAATAAGCAAGCAAGAAAATCGACGTTGAGATGGATTACGTTAGATTTAAGATGTTTGTCTGCCGCGTGTGCTGAGCAATGACAGGTAAACAACCAGTTAGCTGTTTCTACCACTCACAAAAAAAATACAATATGGCTTGCGTAATGTATGACGTAAAACGCGAGCAATATGGTTTTGATTGATACGTGCATGAGTGGCGTTCAGGTCAGCCTACAATTTTCCTTACAACATGTTTTTTCATGAAATATGTGGAGGCCCCTGGTTGTGGAGGACCCTGGTTGTGGAGGCCCCTGGGCAACTTCCCACCCCCTCCCCTAATCAGGCTCTGACACTATATGCATATAGAAGAATATAGGTTCAGTCAGTATATCAACCTATGCCATTACTAATGTAGGAACTGTTTGTTGAGGGGCATACACAAGCAGGACACAAACCAGTGAAGTATGTGGTAGTCGCGCGGACGCAAACAAGGAGTTGAAGAGTAAATAAGTCTGACACAAGAGTGACATCTAAGACAATTACACACGTACTGTACTTATTCTCTTTTGCTAAGCCATGGAGCGGGAAGCGGGGTGGCAGGCTGGATTGAGGTTTAATAACAGGCTCTGTGATGAACGAATTTCTTCGTTCCTGCCTACTTTTTTAATTGCTTTGTGATTGTGATTACAAAACAGGTTAGACTGCATTACTACAACTGGTGCTTTATGCATGGCTAATATTTCACGGATCTGATGTGACCATGGTTTTGTTTGCAGCATTATTTTAATAAAATACGTATGATTTGGCAGATGCATGATCCCTCACTTGTGTGTCTCATCAGAGCATTCTCTGGAATTAAATGCTAGAGAATTATCACATAAAACAGTAGTTAAAAAGCTCTTGCCTCCTGAAAAATATAAGCACAATGCACCAAGTTGCAACCAATTGTTACTGACACATGCACTATATATAGTTTTCAAAGTGCATTTTGGAACCGCTTATTTGCTAAAGAAGCAAGGAAGATGTCTAAGTATAACATTACAAACTTACATTTGGGAATGGCAATCCTAGCGTTGGTTTGACATCAGTCCAGCAAGAACGGTCAAACTTTGGCCCTGCACGTCATTCGAAATGTTTAACTTTATGATTAACCTATTTACCTAGATGAGAGAGAAAGTTTACAAGGCACTGCATTATCACATCTTAAATCTAGCCCACAACTTGAGTCTATGAAACTGGGTACCCTACTTCTATCATGTACTTGTAACTGTGACATGATCGGGGTACCACATATCTCAATTCAGGAAAATATTGGAGATTCTTTTCAATTAAAATACTAAAGCAGCTGAAAATTATAAGACTTAATTAGGAGGACGTATATAAATTCGAGGCAAAACTACAATTCACAGTAAAATAACTAGAATTTTCACATTAATCAGCGAGAATTATAGACGCTAGAACATATCGTATAAAGCTGACTGACGGTAAAATATTGTTTTCACGCTATATATATACAGCTAGCCTACTATATATAAATGTATACAGCCATATCACGCTTCACATCATACTCCATTAGTAATGAAATATATCGAATATATTATATGATTATATATATATATAATAATAATAGAACCCACACAGATACTGTAATATTATTACCTGATTTATATATAATAAACTCACCTGGACCACAGTCATACATCTTGTCTTCAAATTCTGTTTCAGTGTAGGCTAACAAAAGCCGATTTGGCTGTGCAAGCTAGAACACAATTGCATATCAAATATGTTAGTATATTATAATCACCTCTCTCCTTTCCCTCTTCTATTCTCCCATGGATGCATTGCCCTCTCATTCCTCTACTTACTCAACTTTAGCCATGCATGGCCCTGTTACTTTTCTTCCATTGCCTAATTAACTCTTCCCCTTCTCTAATCACACGTTGCGCAAGAGCAAAAGTACCTATGTCCCCCCTGGCTCTTAGCACAACGCGTAGAAAGCGAATGCTGGTACGAGAAGGACGAGAAACTTTCTTCCTGAGGACGAATCGGAAAGAAAAGTTTAAAGAATGGGAAAGGGATGAGTAAAGGTCGACACGTGTGAGGGAATCGCTACTACAACGGACAACAATCAGGGCCACACTGTCAGTGAGGTATCCCTTTATTTGTCACTCATTAATGTTTATAGAGAGGAATAGAGGTCTAATCGCGATATATATGGCCTAATAGTAATATAGAAAAAAAAGCCCGGCGGAAAATATTTTTCGCCCCCAAACGCCACCGCCTCATCCTATGCAACTATATGATATATATACATTCTAGCAAAGAGCGTATTAAAAATGCATTCTTAAGAAAAGCGTATTAGAAAAGCATCTTGATACTATAGTATACAACGATCCGACAACGCGGATATCGGTAAGTCGCGTATCGCCGCGCCTTCGGGCGGCGTACACAGTACATGGCACTACGCACCGTCACCATCCTAATTCCTAATGCTAGCTATAAACCAGATAGATATATTATAAGACGCGTATAAAGAAGGTATATGTACATATATTTACATATATGATAAATATATGTAACTCACGCCTCTGATGCCAATATCGCAGAATGGGTGCCATCGTGATGAACGGCAGTAACTGAACGGACGGTGAACTGGTGCAAGCAGAACGCTGAATGACGACGGGAAGAAAGTCGCCAAACTCCACGACAGATGGCGCTCTCGCTGTCGCTCAATTCATCTTGAGTGCAGTTTGGGAGTCGCCGCGAGTGCGTCAACCACGTGAAGCCGAGCAGCCGATCGACGATCGCAGCGCCATCACGTAAGGGAGCGTCTAAAATAATGAGGGGAAATTTTGGCAAAATCTTTGGCGCTGATGGAGCGAAGAGAGAGAGAGCGAGAGAGCGAGAGAGCGAGAGAGATAGAGAGAAAGCGAGAGAGAGAGAGAGAGAGAGAGAGAGAGAGAGAGAGAGAGAGAGAGAGAGAGAGAGAGAGAGAAGAGAGAAGATAAATAGAGAGAGAGAGAGAGAGATAGAGAGAGACAGAGAGAGAGAGAGAGAGACCGTTCTCAGAGAGAGATGGTCCGGACGCGTAGCCACTGTTTTTTTTGTTTTTTATGTGTACAGGCCCATACATAGATACGCACGGTTTACACATTGTATCATGAACATTCCCTTCCATATTGTATGTATACATTGTGTATACATTATATACATCGGATATACATTGGATATACATTTGTCTACATTGTCTCTACATTTAAATACACTAGTACTGTAGCATTGTTGCAGGAAACTATAAGTATATGTAACAAACTAACTGTATATGTAACTATATCATGTAACTCACCTCTCTGAAATACCAATATCCGAGAACTGGGGCCATGGTGCAAGAAGACTAGATTAAACCTCACGCGATAAATATCAACATCTATTTATTAATTTTTGTTTCACATGCTCATTAGGTTCTATGCCACGACACATAAGACACGACGCTGTTGAGGATATTGACGCCTATTTACATGTGAATTATTGGTCTTTTATATCTGATGTTTACTCTTTCAATTTCGCGCTGGACACCCGTGTCTCAGCAACGCGGCACTAGCGCCGACCAACGGCAATAAGATGCTTCACACGAAAGTAGCTATAAATTATGCAATCATCATCATCATCAGCAGCAGCAGCCGCAGCAGCAGCAGTGGACCTGTATAAATCTTTTGAACAAGTGGGGACCATCTAAGGAAAAACTAGCTTTATTATACAAATTCTGCTTTGGAAGGTTGGGTGTGATACCCGAGGATCTCATAAAATCAGCTTCTGTGCGGAGCGTGTAGCACTTGCTACATTTGCCACTATATTAATCCGCTCCTGTTCTCTAGGGTCTTACACGGAAGGTCTGGATCTTATCCAGCAGGCGAGATATAAGCATGTTGTCGGGAATCATAGATTAGCCTATATACACTAAGACGCGTGTGTATCATAAGCCTATCTCATGACTCGTGAGTTCAAGGTACGACGACAGACGACGACACGCACATCCGCCCCACCCTGCAGACAGAAACACACGGATTATTGTTACGGCAAGATACGTACACTCACGTATCATCATGTTGTAATACAGTAGTTTATGGTAATAATATATAATTAGAAATCATATATACATATGAAATTGGATATTTTCCTTGCCAATGATAGTTAGCAACTCCCTGTTATTATTCTGTAGCAGTTTCACATTAGCTCATAGCCAATAACATAGGCAAGTAAGACAAAGATTCGATGAAGTTGAAAGTTTGTAATGAATTAGTATTTTTATTTTTGCATACACCCGCTCCACTGTGTGAAATATTAGTAATATTTCATATGATCACATGTATGGACTTTACCCTACCTGATT